GTCCCGGGCCGGGCGGGGCCTGCGTGGCTGGCGGTTCCGCCCACTGCTCTCCCCCAGTATTGGAAAGCGTTTCCACCATCTTCCTGCAGTAAAAACAGCTGAGATTTCAGGAAGCAGCTATGAATCTCTGGGGGAAGAACCCAGCGGACAGCTGAGGAAGCCAGGGAGGCCTAAGGCTGCCTTTGGGGGCTCCTGGGCACGTGAGGAGAGGAGTGAGGGGTGCCCTGTGGCCGCAGCGGGGAGCTCTGTCTTCCAGACGCTTTGACCCAGAGGCACCAGCCAGGAGGTTAGGGGTGGGCAGCTAAGGAGACAGGCCAGGCCAGGCCCTGAAGGACACGGGCAGTGAAGACGTGGACGCATTTAGAGTGAGCCCTGCGGAAGTGTGTACCCAGGAAAAGGAAGCACAAGCACGTGGAGCCTCCCTGGATGGTGGGAGGCCAAGAACTTGGCGTCAGGAGGCATCTCCTGCTCTGGCCAGTGGCAAAGGGAAAAAATGGCTTCAAGTTGAGGCCACAGGGAGGGAGAGAGGGTGACCCGGCTCCTGCCTTTTCCCTAGGGAGGGGCTCAGCTGAAGGGGCCAGGGCTGAGTGGGACTGGGACCAGGGACTCCACATCTCCCCGGCTGAGTGTGTCCAGGTAACTCGCTGTCCTTCGACCTCTGTCGTCCTGTTAGGTGCTGGTCAGGTGGGCAGATAGGTGTTTCACAGGTTTACTGAGCACCTGCCTGCAGGCCTCACCCCAGGCAGGGTGGAACCAGGGCGGGCAGAAGTCCCAGCGGCCTGGGCTTCCCACTCATGCGCAGAGAGGATGGGCCGGGTATGCTGAGGAAACCCCCACACTGGCCAGGGTCACTCAGGCTTGGTGGCACTAGTGCACAGAGTAGGGGTGTCACCCCGCCCTGCTGTGATGGAGGGCTGGAACAGAACTGGGTGCCCACATGTTGGGGCCCATCCCTCTGGGGCACCACACAGGCTCCCGCCCCCCTGAGTGAACACCGTGTGTGGCATTCACAGAACGCTCTGTGGCGTTCTGGTCCACGTGGCACTGACCCACTGAGGAAGAATGGACGTCACCAATAGTGGGCCTTCAGCCTCAGGACCTGAGTCAGCCCCCTTGCTCAGGGTGACTTCTCTGGCAGCAGCCCCCTTTCTAGTCCAGCGCCTGCGCATCCTGCCCCAGGGCGTCCATAGGCATTTTGTCAGCTTGATGCTACTGTAAATAGTGTCTTTTCTGAAATCCAAACTGTCGAAGCTTCTGGGGCATTCCATATCTCAGAGTTTTGAGTTAGGAATGCTCAACCAGTAAAGTCTATTAAAACTAAATATTGCAAACTTAGAAACTGAAATCGGAAGCACTCTGGACCCAGGCACTCTGGGTGGGTTCTGCTGCCTCTGCTCTCTGTGGATGTCCAGCAGGAGGTGCGTCTGCCTCGTTGTGTCCACCCTGAGAATCATGCCACCTTGGGATGCGCACCTCAGGTCTGTCCTGTATGAAGACACTGGTCACTGCACCAGGCTAGTCACTAACTCGCCACGCCTGCAGAGCACCATGTCCAAGCAAGGCCATGTTAGCTGGCTCTATGTGGACATGAGTTTGGAGGACACTGTTGGCCCCAGAAAAGCTTCAGCCTTTAGGTCTAGGAGTTCTGTACCTTCCCGTCTCCAGCAGGTAGTGCTGGGTCCTTTGTCCTAAGACTGACTTGCAGGTTAGATGAGAAACACCCCACCACTGGCCTGGGGCCACTGACCAGCTGCTGACCGCGCAGTAGTCGGTGGTGCCTGCTCTCTGCTCCCTGCAGTCCTGGGGACCATCCTCACCCTAGCACAACCAGCCAGCCACAGTTGCTCCCTAAGGCCCTGAGGTCCCCCAGCCAGCTGCTGCAGCAAGGGGCTCCCGCTGGAGGACAGCACAAGCTGGTCACCAGGTCCTAAGGTCAGGGACAATAAGTTCGGTGGCGGGGCCTTTGGGAGGTCAGGCTGCAGGTCCTACTCAGGTGCTTCAAGCCCACCTGTGACCCCACATGCTCTGAGGTTCCACCCTGCTCCAGCGCCCCTGGAGAACTCACCCAAATCTAGCTCCAAGCCACATCTGCCTGCCCCTCCCAGAGCCTGGTGGGGGGTGACTCCTGCGCAGGGACCCCGAGGTGCCCCGCCCATGCCCAGTGACTGAGGCAGGGACCACCCTAGACCAGAACATCCAGCACCCTGGGGGTGGCCTGGTCAGTGCTGTCTGCCCAGCCAGCCCCAGGCAGTGGACAAGCCAGCCAGGTGGGGAGGAGTGAGGTGGTCACAGCCTCCAGGGAGGCTGGCCTGCTGCCCACCCAGCAGGGGTGGTCAGCTCATCAATGACTCCTCCTGGGTGCCTGCCTAGGACTCAGGACGCCTCCAGGGGCCAGAGCCAGCCATTCAGACCCTTTCTCCCCGAATCCAGTGCCAGCCTCCGCAGAGGCCTCAGCTGCAGCGTGGCTTGTGAGGTCTTCAGGCCTCTTCTCTCGCTGCCCCCATCCCAAGGGTAGAGGGCCCTGGCTCTGAGGCTCCAGGCCCATCCCACTTTGCCAGACCAAGTCAGCTTCCTAGAACAGGAAAAGCATGGCGTCAACCCACAGAGTCATCCCCTCAGCCCTGTCACCCTCTGGCCAGGCCCCCTTGGGGTGGAGTCACAACCCCAGCTCTTCCTGCAGTCTGTGCAGGTGGAGCCTGGGGGTGTCCCGGGCCGCAGCCCACTGAGGTATTTTCTAAATGATGTCCTCTCACGCCACCCTGCCAGAGGTCCCCACCCTCCTTGAGCCGCACAGAGTGGGGACCCATGTCCCAGGCCTGGGGCTCCCACCAGAGCTGCCAGAGGTGAAAGTGAGTAGAGGGTCTGTGGGGGCCTGCGTGTGTGTGCCTCCTGGCCCTGGACTCGGCTGCCTCGGCTTTTCCCTGCTGAGCAAGGCTCTCTCTGGGAACATTCCTCCCAGACCCTGGGCAGGGAAGCAGGAGGCTGGGTCTCTGGGGAGGCTGGACCCTCCATGGAAGGAGGCTTCCTGCCCAGTTATGAGCACTTCCTCCCACAGGACAATGCCAGGAAGGGGGTCAGTGCCTTGGACTTGCAGGAAGCAGCCCCAGGGCCCAGGTGCCCAGGTGTGGCAGGAAACACAGCTCAGCCTGGGCCCAGCTCACCAGGCCACAAGGACTTGGAGCCAGGGCTCTCTGGCTGCTCACACCTCCCTGAGCCTTTCACCATCTCCTCCACTCTCTGTCTCTGCCTCTGTCTCTCTGTGTGTCTCTGTGGGTCCATCTCTGCCTCCTAGCTCTCTGCCTGTGTCTGTCTCTGCCTCTCTCTGTGTGTCTCTGTCCTGTCTCTGTATCTCTCTTATCTCTGCCTGTGTGTTGATCACTGTCTCTCTCTGTGTACATCTCCAGCTCTGTCTCTCTTTGTCTGTGTCTCTCTGTGTCTTTATCTCTGCCTATCTCTGTCTCTGCCTCTCTTTGTATCTCTGTCTCTCAGTGTCTTCCTCTGACTCACTCTCCCCCTTCCCAACTGTGGCCCTCTGCCCAGAGCCTCCCCTGGGCCTAGCCCACCTGTCCTTCTGGCCACTGTAGACAGGAAAGGCTCAGGTCCACAGGTGAAGTCTGATCTGAGCACCATGGTCGTCCAGCAAGGGCTGGGCTGGGAGGAGAGCTGGGGACACGCCCCTGGGGCCTCAGCCTGCCCGGCGCCCTGACCCCTCCCCACCACTCTGGGCTGGAGGGCAGCAGGAAGCCAGGTCAGGGCTGGGAAGCGGCCCACTCACCATGCCTGTGGCCCCTCGACGGGGTTAAGAGCCCAGCTTCCCGGGAAGGGCCAGCTCCTTGGAGTCCACCTTCCTGAAAGGCTCTTCCCGGCACTGCGCACGGGGGGGGGGGGGGGGGGGGGGGGGGGGGAGGTCCACACATGCTGCCAGGGTCCCTCACTGCTCCCAGTTTCTGCCTCTGACATGGGTGCTGAGAGACAGGTGGGCTCCACCCCAGTGTCCAAATTCTCTTGAAGGCCACACCCCGAGATCAGTGGAGGCCAGGCCAGGATGCTGTGCTGTCCTCCTGCAGGGCACGGATGGGGACATGGTGGGGCAGGCAGACAAGGTCCCAGAGGGCCTCTCAGAAAAGCTCATGGGGAAGGGGGATGGGCGGGCAAGAGGACCCAGGGTCTTTGGGCGGAACTTGAAGGAGTGGGTCTGGGGCCATGCAGAGGCTCGGAGGGAAGGCAGGGCAGGGCAGCCTGGGGACTGGGCATGCCAGAGGGGCTTCTGAGTCCCTGTGGGGAAGACCAGGGCTGGAAGGACTAGCAGAGGAACAGGGACGGTGCCCCAGGCTCGGCAGAAAGGGGGTGAGTCCAGGATGAGTGAAAGGCAACTCGGGCTGCGGAGGCCAGGTCCATCCTGGCACCCAGGCTTCCCTGTGCCTGAGGTGGGGGGACCCTGGCCACTGGGAAGGATGGAGCCGGGGAACTCAGAAATGGGCAGGTCTGACAGTTCTGTGACAGCCTCAGGCCTGGAGCCCCTAGGAGATCCCACACTGGAGCAGCGTCACCCAGGAGGCCCCAGCCCAGGACTCCCCTGAGACCCTGCCCAGGCAGAACTGGCCACACTGCCCTCCACACCCCTGCAAGCTGCCCACAGAGGTGAAGGCGCAGATCGGACCAGTGGTCAGGAGGATGTCACGCGCTCCAGCACGGATTCCCATGCACTTGACCTCCACCGTGACCCTCTGCAGGCTCCATCCTCCACCTTCCCGTCCATAAAGCCAGTCTGGAACAGGACCCAACCTTGATGCCCCATCTGTTCCGCCCTGGTTCCCGGGGTCCTCGCCCCACCTTTGGCCCCCAGCCCTGGCCTCTGGATCAGGCCAGGAAAGCCCCTCGGAACCCCCCCCCCAGCCACGCAGGAGGGGGCGGAGAAGCAGGTTTGCAGAGGCGGGAAGCTGCTTGGGACGCTGCTATTTAAGCCGTTTCCCTCGAGGGGAGCACAAGAGGGGACGAGCATGGAGCAGGGCCTCGCCCTCCTGCTGGCCCTCTCCCTGGGGCTCCTCCAGCCAGGGCACGGTGAGCCAGGAGGGGATGGGGAAGGGAGGGACTGATGTGGGGGAGGGGGAGGGGAGGGGTGGGACTGGGCCGCCCTCCGATCCCACAGTCTAGGACCTAGGTGGAGGTCCGGCAGCAGACAGGACCTGCGCTGGGCTAAGAGCTGCGTCCCCGCAGGTCAGCCCCTGCACGTGGAGCCCCCGGAGCCCGTGGTGGCCATGGCCGTGGGCGCGTCGCTGCAGTTCACCTGCAGCCTGGCCTGCGAGGGCGGGGCGGCCAGAGTGCGGTGGCGGGGCCTGGACATCGGCCTGGGCGCGGTGCTGTCGGAGGCAGGCAGCAGCGTGCTCTGGGTGCACAACGCCTCGCTGTCGGCAGCCGGCACGCGCGTGTGCGAGGGCTCTTGCGGGGACCGTCGCTTCCAGCGCACCGTGCGACTCCTGGTGTACGGTGAGGCTTCGCCCCCTCTCCCAGGCCCATCTTTAAACCCTCGCTCTGAGCCCCCGCTCCACCCAGACCCTCATCTGGCTCCTCCGAGCCCTTCCCATCCTACTCAGCCGGGGCGTGGTCAGTGCCCCGTTGTGGCCTCCCCGCCGTCCCCCACATCTGGCCCAGCCTTGACCTGTGGGCTCCTCAGCCCTGAGCAGGCACCCGCTCTGCCCACAGCCTTCCCGGACCAGCTGGCCGTGTCCCCAGCGACTCTGGTGCCTGGAAGGAACCAGGAGGTGGCCTGCACTGCCCACAGCGTCTCCCCGGCTGGCCCTGACACACTGTCCTTCTCCCTGCTCCTGGGAAACAGAGAGCTGGAGGGTGTCCAGGCTCTAGGTAGAGAGGAGGAGGAGGAGGACCCCCAGGAGACGGAGGACCTGCTGTTCCGGGTGACYGAGCGCTGGCTGCTGCCCCCCCTGGGGACTCCTGCCCCACCCACCCTCCACTGCCAGGCCACCATGCGGCTCCCTGGCTTGGAGCTGAGCCACCGCCGGGCCCTTCCAGGTGAGCCTCCGGGGTCCTGGCATCCCCAAGGTCCACCCCCTCCAGCCTGGACAGCACCATTCATCCACCTGTGGGAGCTGTTCACACAGGCTGTCACCCTGTGGCCACCAGAGAGAATCATTAATTCAACAGATACAGCTCCTGCCCTGTGCCAGCCTCAGGATCCATCCCTGCTCTGCCCACGTCCCTCCATGTTCGTCAGGGTCAAAGCTCAGGTCCACCCTCCCCAGGCAGAACTGGCCACCCTGCCCTCCACACCCCTTGCTCCTCTGCTCCAGCCATGGTCCTCCTCATGTTCCTCTAACAGAACAGTGAAGCTCATTGCAGCCTCAGGGCCTTTGCACAGGCTGTGCCCTGTGCCCAGAATACCTTTCCAGACCAGTCCCAGCTCCTCCTCACCTTTCCCAGATCTTTGTCCAAGGTGACCATAGTGAGGCTCCCCAGCTACCCACCCCCACAGGCACACAGGCACACTTCTCCTGAGCCTTGTATTTCTCCACCACATTTTTAACACCTGACATCCTATGCTTTTTTTCCCATTATCTGTCCCCACCATTGGCATCGCCAAGGGACATCTGTCTCATCCACAGTGATATCCTCAGCAGCCACCACAGGAGCACAGGCAATGCCCTGTCTCTAGGGTGAATCCTACACACATCTCCAAGCCCCAGAAACATCCCTAGGGGAGCTCTGTGCACTCTCCACCTGGAACCCCTGACTCCCTAGTGACCCTGGGTCCTGGTTTCTAACCCAGAGCTCCAAAACGGAGTAGAAGCCAGAGGCCATATGAAGGGGGCACACAGAGATTGTTTTTATTTTGGGGGGATACTGGGGATTGAACTCGGGGGCACTTGACCACTGAGCCACACCCCAGCCCTATTTTGTATTTTATTTAGAGACAGGGTCTCACTGAGCTGCTTAGTGCCTCGCTTTTTCCTGAGGCTGGTTTTGATCCTCCTGCCTCAGCCTCCCGAGCTGCCAGGATTACAGACATGTGCCACTGTGCCTGACGGTTTTGGGATTTTGATACCAAGAATAGAAAACCAGAAGCACTTAACCACTGAGCCACATCCCCAGCCCTTTTTATTTTATTTTTTGAGACAGGGTCTCTCCAAGTTGCTGAGGCTGGATTTGAACCTGCCTCAGCTCCCGCACTCCTGGGATTACTGGGGTGAGACATGGTGCCTGGCTACAGGAGTGTTCTCTAGATCCTACCAAGTCCCAGCCTCAGTCCACACCCTGTCCCCATTCCTATGCCATGTTAAAAGGTGTCCTGAGCACATGCCCTTGCTACTCTCTGCTGCAGCCCAAGGGGGTGGGGTGACYCTCACCCCTTTTACACTTGAGAAAACCAAGGCACGCGGAGCGGCAGCAGCTCAGGGCGGGGCTGCCAACGGTGGGACCCGCTCACCAGGTCCAGCCCAGAGGGAGCAGTGGGTGGTCCAGAGGGGGAGGTGAGGCTCGGGAAGTAAGAAGAAACGGTCACTCTGTTTCCAGTCTTGCACAGCCAGACCTCGTTGGAGAGCCCAGACCCAACCTCATCAGAGCCCYCCACCACCACCTCCCCCCAGGCCACCCCCCAGCAGGGCTCCACCGGCACCCCCAGGATTGACAGCTCCACTAGGACTTGCCGCCCAGAGATCCACTGGTCTCTGGAGCCTGCACTGGAGGGAGAGGTCAGCTGGGAGCTGCTGTGTGAGGCGGCCTGTGGCCCTGGCATGACCGTGCACTGGACCCTGGCTCCTGGGGGCCTGGCAGCCTACAAGAGGAGGGAAGCAGGGGCTCAGGCATGGCTGAGCCTGCCTCCAGACGGCTCCAGAACCGAGGGCTTCTTCCAGTGTCGCCTGGACCCGGGCGGCCAAGTGGTCAGCCTCTATGTGCCCATCCAGAAGGTGATCCCAAAAACCTGTGAGTTCTGATGCCCGGGAAGGAGCCGGGAGGGGCAGAGTCTCTGGATCAAAACTTTAGGTGAGAAACTGCAGGGTCAGGCTCTGTCCAGGGGCTTCCCCTGGCTGCAGCTTCCAGGCTGAGGCCAGGGGTGGCCACTGTGCTCCAGGCCTGGGTCCCATCCCGGGGGARAATCAAAAAGCAAAAACGAGTGTGATGAGTATATTTCCAGGGGCCCAAGTTGTTCCAAACCTTATCATCTCAATGCGTAAATATAAGAGTAGGAATGTAATATTTTACGCACTTTTTTTAGCTATAGTTGGACACAGACCTTGGTTCCTTGGTTTCTGTGCGGTGCTGAGGGTGGAACCCAGGGCCTCACACGTGCTGGGCGGGCGCCCTGCCGCTGAGCCACCGCCCAGCCCCGGCTTTTCTTTCTAACGCTCTGCATTTCCACACGAGTCCCGAGGCGGGGTACAGGTCAGCGCGCCAGCCAGCCGCACGGCACGTGCAGACGGCGCTCGCGAGCCGGCCGCTGGGAACCCACGGGGACCTGGGGGGCACGAGGCCCTGCGCTGGCTGCCGACCTGCGGGGGCGGCCGGCACTCCTGACCGCCCCTCCGCTCTTCCAGCTCCCGACCATCCGCCCGCCGCCCTGTGGACTGGCAGCCTGGTGCTGGGGCTGCTTCTGATGCCGCCCCTCGCCTACCGCCTGTGGAGACGCTGTCGACCCCTGCCCGCGACCCCCGCCCGCCTGCCCGTCTCCCTGCGGCTCCTGCCGGTGCGCCACTAAGCGGGAGGCGCCGCCTCTCCCGGTACCGGCCGCCCTGGGCAGGAGAGGGCCGACCCTGCCCCCCACACTGGTGGTCAGTTCACAGGAAGCCCCCTCCCCAGCTGGCTGAGCTACCCGCCCTGGGCCCACCTCCCACCCCCGGCCCGGAGCTGAAGAATAAAGGCCACTTGGTCTAACCGCTGTTGATTCCTGTGGTGCGGCGAGCCTGGCGCCACCCCTGTTGTCCCGCACGCACACCGGGCTGACCCCAAAGAGAAGCGCGCCTCTGGGCAGCGCGCTGGAAGCCCGTGCTGCCTGGGCTGGGCGAGGCCCAATGGAGCTTAACCAGAGAACCTGGAAAGTACTTGATGGGGGTCGCCTGGGCAGATAAGGACAAGGGGCTGATCAAGGGAAGTTGCACGAGTTGAGAGGCTGCAGATGGGGGCAGGGAAGCAACTGGAAATGAGGTCAGCTTGCCAAGAGCCTGAGATGCCAGGCGGGGGAGGAGGGACCCTAGCCAGAGTGCACAGGGAGCCACCGAAGTGCTTAAAGCCACAACGGACGCGGCGGTAGCACGCCCCCTCTGGTGGTCAGGAAGAGTAACGGCCTAGGTCCGCGACTTGTGCACAGGCTGCTAGGTCGGGTAGGAGCGCGTGGAACTCCAACACAACTGGAGGATGTCTGAGGTGGGGTCCCCCACAAGGCGTGCTCTACTAAGAYCGAGACAGGCCAAAGGCCGGGAGGAGCTCAGCCAGAGCCCAAAGCTTTCCACAAACTCAGAAAAGGATCTGGGGTGGACACTCAGTCCTGGAGTCAGGGAGCGTCCATACTGGCGCACGATAGGTTGGACTTTGCTGGTATCCCAGGAGAACGGTTGCTAGGAGACCATGCTAATGAAGGACTCACCCACTACCCAGATGGCAAGCTATAAGGCTTCATGCCAGAAACCAAGCCCTTGCTAAGCAACCATTTTAGAGTCTGGCAAAATTCAGTTTCCGGGCCGAAACCAGACCAATTCGATACACGCAGAGAGAAGCAAAGGGAGAATACCAACTAGGACCCAAGGAAAAGGGTTACCTGCCCCTTTTATTTTCCGGAGTCTCGCAAAAGGTTCCGGCGCCCTCTGCCCCTAACCAAGATGGCCGCCCAGGAAACTCGGGGCACGTGGGACATGGCGGCGCTTCCGGTCCCAGTGCCCTCAGTGAAGATGGCGGCAGTGGAGAAGCGGCGGCCGGCGGTAGCACCGGCGGCCAGTTTCACGGACAACGGCCGGCCGTCGGTGTCCAGGGCGCAAGCGGCCGCCGAGAATGAGGAGGACTTCCTGCGGCAGGTCGGCGTGACCGAGATGCTGCGCGCGGCCCTGCTAAAGGTTCTGGAGGCGCGGCCCGAGGAGCCCATCGCCTTTCTGGCGCACTACTTCGAGAACATGGGCCTGCGCTCTCCGGCAAGCGGCGGCGCCGGAGAACCCCCGGGACAGCTCCTGCTGCAGCAGCAGCGCCTGGGTCGCGCGCTGTGGCACCTTCGCCTGGCTCACCATTCACAGAGGTGCGGGCGGGGCGGCGGCCAGACTCCAGTTCCCGGCCTATGGCGGGGCGCGGGGCACTCTGGGAGTTGTAGTTCGCGGCCTCCTGGCCGGAGCCGGTGGGCTGGTATGGCACTTTATTTCCGGGCGCGGAGCTTGCTGGGAGTTGTAGTCCTCGCCTCCTGGGTGGGGTGGAGCTGCTACTTCGCCCTCGGTGCCGGCTGCGGGCTGTAGCGCGTTTCTGCTGCAGCTGGGGGCTTTCTAGGTCGGAGGGTACCGTGTCCCTTAAGCCAGAAACGAATAACTGGAGATTGACTAAAGCCGAGCGTGGCCCGCGGGAGGAAAGCCTGGAGTGGGGCGAGCTGGCGAGACGGGGCTCCTGGTCTGTGTCCCGGACGGGACGGTGCTGAACTCCCAAGGTGGCCGAGTTCCTGAGTGAGTGGCAGCAGACGGGGAAGCTGTCCAACACGCAGCCTCAGCCCTGGGCGACTGTCTGGGGCTGGTGGGCCGGTGTTTGGGGGGACCCAGAAGCAGAGGCTGAGGCGGGCATTGCGTGATGGCTTAGGAGTGGTGTGCCAGAACGCAGTGCGCCTCCGTCCATCCCCTCAGGGCAGCCCTGGGAGTCTGAGCGCAGCTGGACGGGGTGCGGGGCTGGGGAGAGGAGCTGGTGGGCAGGAGGCGGAGTGATGGGAGTGGAGGGGAGTAGGACTGCTCCTTGGCCTGAGGAGCCCACAGCGGGAAGGGGGACTGGATGGCCTGAGACAGGGCTGGGCTGGGGCCCTTGTAGACTGGAGGATTTGAGAAGGCCTCAGGAGAGAAGAGCAGAGCCCGCAGAAAGGGTGGGAAGGCAAAGCCAGAGATGAAGAGCCAGGAGAAGTGGCCTCAAGGAGGAAATTGATCAGTGACGGGGTTCCATACGTGGTGGCTCAGGTCCAGCACAGCTGTCACAGATATGTTTGTGTTCATCTCGTAGGGCTGGTGGGCATGGTGGCACACATCTGTAATCTCATCAGCTCTGGAGGCTGAGGCAGGAGAGTCATAGGTTCAAAGCCAGCCTGAGCAAGTTAGTGAGGCTCCAAACAATTTAGCAAGACCCAGACCCAAAATTTTAAAAAGGGCTGGGGATGTGGCTCACGGTTATGTGCCCCTCAGTTCAGTCCCTGGTACAAAAAAATAATCTAGGGCTGCTGTTAAAAATTACCATAAATTTAGTAACTTAAAACAGAAATTAATTTTCTCAATGGTTGAGGTGGCCCGAAGTCTGAAACCACGGTGTCATCAGGCCCATGTTCTCTCCAGAGGGTCTAGGGGAGGTCTTTCCTGCCTCGGTGACTAATAACTCCATCCCTCAGTCCTCCCCCCTTGGCCTTCCGTCTACTTTGTAAAGACACTAGGTGTTGGATTACAGCCCATCCTTCTCCAGCATGACCTCATCTTACATCTGCAAAGGCCCCTACCTGAGGTTCTGGATGATATGATATCCCTGGTCCCCCAGAATGGAAGTGTCACAGCTGTTGGCTAGAGTTCAGTCAGAGTGGCAGGGGCACAGGAAGCAGATAGTGGGTGCTTGTGGCAGATATGATGGCCCTGGGGTCACCTGGCTTCCCAGGGACCAGCCAGGAGTGAATGAATAAGACAGGCTCCCATGGCGTCCGACCGTGTTCGTGGGTCCAGGCCTGCTCCTGTCCTCCCTCAGACATCCCGGCCACTACCTCCCTTCCTCAGACAGCAGGCAGGAGCTCTCGGCTGGTGGAAAGGAGCAGAAGCCCAGGGCCAGGTAGCTGTATGCTGTCCCCCAGTACTTGAGGGTGAGCTGAAGATGCCAGGTCTGGGAGAAGTCACCTCGGCCCTCTCTGCTGGCCAGCAAGGCCACCTGGAGCATAAGAATGTAGGTGTCTGAAGGCCACGTGGCTGGCCACCACAGGGCAGAGCCAGGAGTCAGACAGCTCAGCCGATGGGGCCTCCTTGGCTACCTCATGGCTGATGAGAGGGACTCTTCCACAGTGTCCCTGAACATGTTGTCACCAGAAAAGTACTCATGGAGGACTGGCTAGTCTTGGGCAGGGCCCAGCCTCAGCCCACTGTGGTGGGCACCCTGGACACTGCAGGGTGCAGAGCAGAGTCCCTGGCCTCTACCCACCCATGCCACACACTCCCCCGTTGTGACCACACGTGTCTAACATGGCTCAGGGTCTCCACTGAGAGCCACTGGTCGAAGGTGAAAACAGACATGTGTTCTCTTCCCTAGCAAGTGCGGGCAAGCTTTGCCAGCTGTCCTGGCAGCCTGCACGGCCTGACCTGTAGAGCAGAGGGGAATGGTGCCGTGCTCTGTGCACTGTCATCTCTGGGTGGTGCAGCAGGACACCCTCAGGGGGAGTGAGGCAGCCGGGAAGGAGGTGCCTCTCCTCCCTTTCTTGCCCCTTCCTGGGTGTCACCTTGATTCACTGGTTGCAGTCACACCTCAGTGCCTCCTGGTCATGGGGCGGAGCCTTTGCTGTGGTTACTGCTGAGTGCTTCCTGGACATGGGACCAGGATCCTGCTCAAACAGCACCTGAGCCACAGACGGATGGGACTCCACACACTGGGCACAGCCCCAGGTCTGTGGCGCACAGTCTGCTCCATCCTCGCAAGGATCTGAAATGCAAGGACCAGGCTGGTACCCTGGGTGGGAAACAGGGGACCCAGGAGGATCTCACAGGGTGAGTTAGGCAGCCACCCCTGGGGAGAGGCGAGGGATCTGGGCAGGCCAGCATCTGCCCAGGAGGCGGTGGCCACAGCTCCCAACCTGGTCCCACCCACAGGACAGCCTTCAACAACAATGTCAGCGTGGCCTACGAGTGCCTGAGTGCCGGCGGCCGCAGGAAGAGGCCTGGGCTGGATGGCCGCACCTACAGCGAGCTGCTGAAGCGCATCTGCAGGGATGGAGAGGCCCCGGAGGAGGTGGTGGCCCCACTGCTGCGCAAGATCCAGTGCCGCGACCATGAGGCGGTGCCGCGGGGCGTCTTCCGGGCAGGCATGCTGACCTGCTTTGTGCTGCTGGACTTCGTGGCCCGGGCAGGAGCCCTCTTCCGGCTTCTTGAGGCCCCAGGCCTGGCAGTGGCTGACCGCCGTGTGGGCCAGGCCGTTCTGGACACCCTTGAGGGGGCCCTGGGGGCTGGTGACCACACTGCTGTGCCTGCATGCTACCTGGAGGCCGGCTCGCGCCTGGGACCCGACAGCCTGGCGCTGGCCCTGGACCGTGCAGCGACCGGCCGGAGGCCCAGCTCCCCCATGTCCCGAGAGGAGTTCCTGGAGAAGGCAGCCGCCCTCTTCATCGCCAAGGTCAAGCCAGTGGGCTGAGCCTGCTCCTGGGACTGGCCCAGGACAGAGCATTCCCACCCCTGCACTAGGACAGGGCCACCAGGACACTGCACCCCCACAGCTGTGCACCCACACTCATAAGCCCAGCTCAGCTGAAATAAAGTCTGTGGAGGCCTGTGTGCATGCACATGTGCGTGCGGGCTTGTGTGTGTGTGCCAAGTGGGCCCACCACCCGGCCGCCCAGCCAGCCCATTCCTCTGGAGGGTGAGTCTCCTTCCACAGCCCTGCCCACTCCAGTGGCTGCTCTTGGGCCTCAGTTTCCCTAGCCATCCAGCAAAGAGAGCAGCTGGCAGCGACACGAGGGATGGCAGTGGAATCTCCACCCCTCCTCCTCCCTCCCTGCCTGGAGGAAGGCAGCTGCGAGAGGAAACCGAGGGCCAACAGGCTGGGGCCCTCCAGAGTCACACGGTGCCACCTCCACCAGTGGTCCCCCCAGCTCCCTGTCAGCACTTCATGGCTTCAGGCATCTGTACCCCACACACCCAGAGCCTGGCCCCCCACCTCCCTCCTACCTGGGACTGACAACCCCACTCTGCCTGAGAGGCCTACGCAGTGGGTCTGTTTAATCTGTCTTCTCAGAAGGTGGGTGGCCCCAGCCGCTCCCCAGTCCAAGTTTGGTGTAGGTTGGACGGCCGGTGAGTGGTGTCGGGAGTGGTGGCAGCCCTGCTGCCAAGCAGAGCAGCATCAGGGTCCTGTTCCCACTCGGGCTCTGGAGGCAGGCGGTGAGTGAAGCCTGTGCTCCCAGCAAACTCCATAGCAGGAGGCTTTGGGGCAATCTGTGCCCCCAGGTTAGGGACGGAGCCGCCTGGGCTCCAGCACTCGCAGCCACTTGAACCCCCAGCCGAGCAGAGAGGGCAGCCAAGCGGGACTGGGACGCCCAGAGGCAAGCATGGCTTGCCAGCCCAGGAGACACTGCACTGGGCCCAGCCACCCTGCCATCCAGCCATCTCCAAGGCATTGTGGTGTTCTGCAAGAGGGGCCTCTCGTCCTCAGGAGTGCCCCACGTGGATATGACCTCCAACAGCCCCAGAGCCCAGCACCTCCTAGGTGTCTGCATGGGGACACCCTGGGGCTGCCCCAGGATCCTGGGCACGAGCAGTGGCCCCATGCTTCCTGTCCCACCAGCCCACCCCTCCCCTGCCACCTGGGCACCACTGGCCAAGTGGGGCATTCCAGTGTCCCCTGGCTTCCATGATTGGCTTGGGGCAGGTGTGTGACACAGCATGACACTGTCATCTGGGAGCAACTGGTGGGACTCTTCAGCCACTGTGTCACCAGAAGTTGCTGAGAGAGCCCAGCTGCTATTTGCCTCAGTCCCCTCCTGCCCTCTGCCCTAGCCTGTCCCCTCCTGCCTTCTGCCCTAGCCTGTCTCCACCTTGCTGTGCAACACAGGACTTCAAACCCACAGGGCTCTTACTCATCCCATGCTGGTCCACCCCAGGGTCACCTGCCAGGAGGCGCCTACCTGAGCTCCGGCCACACCTCCGGCTGCTGCCCCTGCTCTCCAGCCCTTGCCTGCTGTCTCACTCCCTCGCTGCTGTTCCTCCCTCTCCCACTTCTTTCCTGCTATTTCTTGCCTTTGCTGCCCCTGCCCTTGTGGATGTGTGGTATTGAACCCTGCGTCTCAGGGAAAAGTACCTACTGTGTCACTGCCCACAGGGACAGAGCCACCTGGGACAGGGTTTGTGACATGTGGATGCTCTGCCATTGAGCCACATCCCCAGGCCTTTTTTGAGACAAGGTCTCCCTAAGTTGCCCCAGCTGAGCTGGAACTTGCAACCCTCCTGCCTCAGCCTCCAGGGTCAAAGGTGACAGGTGTGACCACTGTATCAGCTCTGCTTTTTTACACACAGGAATACTATTACCCCAAGCGGTTTGTTCACAAGCTTGCTCACCCCCTGTCCAGAGCCCCTGAGGCAGGGATCCCCAGCACCTAAGTTTTGTACACAAGAGGAAAAGAAGGGAAGGAGGAAGAGAGTTAAATTACCACAAATTCACACAAGTGGGCGCAGCACCTCTGACTCTGGCCCTCCTGCCTCCTCTCATGGGGACCCTGTGGTGACCCTGGGTCCCAATGACCAGGGTGACCCAGCTCAGGGTCCTTCGCTGATGCCACCTCAGAGCCCCTGCTGCCCCTGCATGGCAAATCCAGGAACACCAATGGGATTCTCAGCATCATCTCTGCCCATGGGCTCAGCTTTCCTGCAGCTCACCTTGTTCACAGGCCACAAGTGAAGAAGCCCTCCAACTTGGCCAAGGCAGGTCCCCAAGCTGCATCTCCTCCGATGCCCAAGCCAGTCCCTGCAACCTGGGAGCTGGGACACTGATGGGACAACCTGGCCCTGCAGCTCGGGCTTGGTGTCAGTCTAAACCTTCAGTGCCCCCCCTCAAGGGAAGAGTGCTGTGGCAAAAAATGCCCCCTGCTCATCACTCCAGGATGTCCCATGGGGGCGAGGGGTGTGGGGAGATTTGGACAACTCAAAGGAAGAGCCAGGGTCAACTCCAACTATTGTCTACTGATGAGCTGCCTCACACCAACTCTGTGACAACAAGGACAGCCCACCACAGAGAATGGGGTGCGTGAACACTCCACGCCCAAGAGGGCACACCAGGCAGGCAGCACTGACTGGACACCCCCAACCTCCCAGGTTGTGGGGCAGAAGGGCCTGGGAGGAGGGCCAAGGGCAGCTCTGAGCAGCACGTGGAGCTGTCACTGACCAGGGTTTCCTTAGATACCTCTGCCTACCTCACCTCTGATGTTTCCTTTCCCATTTCCAGCTGAGATGGCAGCTTCAGAGGGCAGGGACTGGACATGAGGGAGCCGCCCCCCACCCAGCCTGAGGCTTGCCACAGCTGCCCCATGCGCAGCACTTGTGCCAGCCACGTCATGAGAGGCCCCAGGCAGCAGGTCCTCCCTGCCAGAGGCTTGCTAAGCTGCCATTGCCACACCAAAGTCCAGGTGGCCAGGAGGTATCTGAACAGGACCCAGCAGGCCAGAGCTCAGGGTCAGTGGAGCCCAGGGTCAGGGGTCTGCTGGCCTCTTGAGCCCGGTTTGCCCCACCTCAGGGTCTTTGCAAGGCTGTTTCCCTTCATGCGCACTTCCTCCAGGTACCTCCTCGCTGCCTCTGGTCGTCGTCTCACGCAAGACCCAGGTGGGCTCAAAGAGGAGAGCACCACCAGTCATGGTCCAGGCTCCACCAGGTTGGGTGGAGGCCAAGGTGGGGTGTCAGGGTGGAGCCAGGGGATTTTAGGAGAGACCCTCAAGGTGGGGGATCAGGGTGGGTGCTCAGACTCCATCGAGGGGTCAGGGGGCCAGGCTCCGTCACGGTCGGGAGCCGGGGTCCACCAGGTGGGCCCTGGCGTGAATCGAGTGCAGAACCAAAGCTGCCAAGAGGATGCCCAATGGGAAGGTGGTTCAGAATCCTCGGCCCGGCTTCGCAGGAAGCCCGCGGATCGCCTGCTCGCTCCGCGCACCCCGCCTCCTCCAGCCCCGAAAAGCAGGAGGGTCGCCCCCGCCCCCCGGCCCCACCCGCGCCAGGACGTCACAAAAAAGGCCCCCAGAGCCGCGGCGACCGCGCCAGACGGAGCAGCCCGCCTCCCGCGCACAGGCGTCCGCGGAGCTCGGCGGCGGCGCGGCTCGGCTCGGGCGGCAGCGCGAGCGCCTGCGCGGCGGGCGGCGGACTACGCTTCCCGGCGTGCCCCGCGGGCGGGCGGCGGACTACGCTTCCCGGCGTGCCCCGCGAGCGGGCGGCGGACTGCGCTTCCCGGCGTGCCCCGCGGGCGGGCGCGCAGGCGCAGTCGGGGCCCGGAGTCGGCGCGCAGGCGCGGCGGGTGGGGCGCACGGGTCAGGCCGAGGCGGGCGGCGGCGCCGGCGGCGGCGCGGGTGGAGCGCTCGGGGGCCACGGGCGGCGGCGGCGGCGGCGTAGCGGAGGAAGGCGGCGGCTCCCCCCCGGCCAGCGCGCAGCCCGGCCCGTCCCGCGAGCTCGCGGCGGCCCCGCGTCCCGGCGCGCCCCCGGCCCCGGGACCCTCCGCCGCCGCCGCCGCCATGGCCCGGCCACTGGTGCCCAGCTCGCAGAAGGCGCTGCTGCTGGAGCTCAAGGGGCTGCAGGAGGAGCCGGTGGAGGGCTTCCGGGTGACGCTGGTGGACGAGGGCGACCTGTACAACTGGGAGGTGGCCATCTTCGGGCCTCCCAACACCTACTACGAGGGCGGCTACTTCAAGGTGAGCGGCGGCCGGCTCGGCGCCCCGCCCGGCCTTATGTAACCGGGTCTCGGCGACGCCGGGGCGGGGGCGGCGCGCACCCCGGGCTGCGCCCGCAGGCCCGGCCGGGCCCAGGCGAGCTGCGGAAGCCGGGGCTGCTGGACGCCGCCAGCCTCGCAGGTCCCGCCGAGCGGGCGGCTTCTGCGGTCTCGGGCTGCTCTGCGGGCATTTTTTTGCCCTCTGGTGGTTGAAGGATGAGCGGTGCTTTTGCTGCTGGGAGCAGGGAGCCGAGGGCTGTCCCCCGGACTCAGATTCTGCCTTATGTGACAAAGAACATGGGCCACAATCAGGGCGGTTTTCTCCACCGAACCGATCTGAGCCTAGCCATAGCTTTGGATTCCTCTAAGGGTCCCAGGACCTTGTTCTGGAGCCAGCGGAGCAAGACTGGGGTCTCCCTACCTAAGGTGGGAGCAGAAACCGGGAGTGGTGGTGCACGGTTGTCTTCCCAGCTCCTCAGGATGGAGCCTGAGGCAGGAGAAGGGCAAGTGGAAGAGCGGGACGTAGGTCAGTGGTAAAATGCTTGCTCTGGTGTTCTCAGGGCCCCAGGGTCAGTCCCCGCTGCCGGGTGAGGCCAAGACAGGCCTGTTTCCACTGTGGGTTGGTGTTTTAACCAGGCCTGCCCAGTGAGTGAGGGCACCCGCCTTGTCTACTTGGGGGCAATTGCTGAGTTGGGGTCCCAGGTCTGAGGGCAGGGATGGGTGGGGGAACCGGTTTGAGTGTTCCTGCATCCCCACCCAGGGAGCAGTCCAGTTTGAAAAGTCTCCAAGAGCACTTCATAGTTACAGCAGCACCCAGAATGGGGTAACACCCCGCCCTGAGGTCAGGCCAGGCTTCTGGGCAAGGCTGCAGTCAGGAAGGAAAGGTTTTGGATCTCTGGCACTACCCACCAAACTGGCTGCAGGGCATTGTGGGTTGAGCCTCCAGGGTTGGCTTTAGTGGGAGAGTCCCATCTCTAGAGAGAGAGGTGTCAGGCTAGGATCATGTTTGCCACAGGTCTGTCCTTAGAAGCCAGTGTGGGACTAAGGTTTGCTCCCCTGTCTTGGGCATGGTTGGCCGGGGTGTGGGCAAAGACTTGTAAAGGGGATGTGGAAGTAGAGGACTTGTAAGGTGCCTAAGGCCACCATGGCTTCCTAGTCACTTCCTGTGGGGCATTCCTCTCAGCCCAGCCTCATCTTAGGGACCATGCCAGCCTGCTGCAGGCAATGCTCTAGCACCAGGAGCTGGAGAGGCTCCTCCCTTAGGCAAGGTCTCTCCTTCTGTGAACCTTGATTTGTGAAGTGGTAAAAGGGATCTCTAGAGATGCTTAGAGTAAAAGGTGCAGGGGATTAGTTGGGTGAGGCTCAAAATCCAGGCTTAGAAACCTGGCAGGAGTCCAGGGGTGCCTTGAAGTCTTGAGCAACTGTTGGGCAAGTGTCAGACCCAGATTCCAAGGTCACTCTGGCCTCAGCATGTTTTCCCTGGACATGGAGGCGTCCCTCTCCATAAGATTTCTAGGGGCCTAGTCTCCACCTTTGGAGCTTACAGCACCCCAAAGATGCTGCCCCCCCAAAAAAAAAAAAAAAAAACATCAGCGATTCCTTTCTTACCTGCTGAGAGCCCAGAGGCAGGAGCAGCATCAGGGCCCTGGCCACAGGTGAGCAGCTCTGGCACTGGTGCAGGTGGCTCAGACCCTTGGCCTGAGTAGCCCTCAGAGAGGCAGTGATGATAAGTCTCCCAGAGGACAGACGAGTCATGCTGGGCTGGGGCCACGAGTCTCCAGGTAACTGCCACCCTGCCAACCTCTGGCGTTCCCCCGTTCTCACCTGCACGTCGTGGGGCTGGATCAGCCCAGGCAACCTCAGAAAGGCTTGAGGCAGCCGATTGTGGACATGGCTTTTGGCTTGAGCCTAGGCCTACAAGAGACTGGGCAGTGAGCCCTGTTCCTCCTTGTCCATCGTGGGACACACTCCCCAGACACCCAGAGAGTGTCCTCTGAAATGGAACTCCGCCAGGGCCTAGCCCCCACTGAGCCACCCCTGCTGTTCCCACCCCACAGGCTCGCCTCAAGTTCCCCATCGACTACCCTTACTCTCCACCAGCCTTTCGGTTCCTGACCAAGATGTGGCACCCAAACATCTATGAGGTGAGCGCACACAAGCCTCGCACAGGCCTCTGCCTCCCTGTGGTCACGCCTCCGGTGGAGCAGGCAGTGGGAGCCTGGCCAGGGCTAACCTGCTGTCTCCCTCACTCAGACAGGGGACGTATGCATCTCCATTCTCCACCCACCTGTTGATGACCCACAGAGTGGGGAGCTGCCCTCGGAGCGGTGGAACCCCACACAGAACGTCAGGTGAGGCTAGGCCCAYCATGTAAGTCTGGTGGCACCTGTGCCCTGGACTGGCCCTGGGACACATGGGAAGAGCCGTCTGTGTCTCTAGTGCCTGTGGCACTGTGCTGTCCACCCAGAAACCAGACCCTGGGGAGATCCCAAGGCATCCTGCTGCTCACCCTGGGAGCCCCAGCTTGAGGGTGGGCTCCTGATGCTGTGTGTCTCTGAGGGCAGCCCCTATCCACTCCAGCTCCTGCTGCCTGGTGGTGCCCTGAAGTGTGAGCAGATCAGACAGTGCCCACAGGGGCCTCTAGGGGCTCCTGGGTTGAGGCCTCAGTAGTTGGGGCCTGAGAGAGATGGAAGTCTGGGTTCTTCAGCCACCGCACTCCAGTCCACTCGTCCCCCTAGGACCATCCTCCTGAGTGTCATCTCCCTGCTCAACGAGCCCAACACCTTCTCACCGGCCAATGTGGATGCCTCAGTGATGTACAGAAAGTGGAAAGAGAGTAAGGGGAAGGACCGGGAGTACACGGACATCATCCGGTGAGCACGGGGCTCTGAACCCCTGAGTAGGGCCACCTGCTTCTGCTAACGAGGCTGACGAGTGCTTCCTGCCTTCTAGCCTGTTGGAGGCCACCTCTGCCCAGGGGCAGCAGTTGCAGATGGGGACACCAACCCCAGTCAGAAGTATCCAGCCAGTTCAGCCCAATTTCTGGCCTCTTCCTTGTTTTTGAAAACATGGTGGTATTTATTCCTTCTTAGTGTCACAGAAAAGTGTGGCGTGTGAGCACACATATCCACATGGTCCACATAGCGTGTGTGTCTGTGTGCACTGTGGCATACAGTGTGAAGGCCCCATCCCAGCATTCAGGAGTTCCTAGTGCCTCGTTGCTTGGTGACTCAGCCCTGATGTGCCTGGTCCTTCCTGCACCCTACCAGGGCAGCACTCTCCCTGGGACAGTGGCCTCTGCTGCCGTGGTCCCTGTGGGTGGGTCCGCCAGGCAAAACGGGTGCTGCGCACTCGCTGAAGGCCCAGCAGGCCCACGGTCTGCTGCTCTGCTGCTCGCTGGCACTCACAGCCACGGACAGCTTGCCAGGCGGGCTGCGTCCCAGTGGCTCTCTACCTGCTCCCATCTCCTCTGAGTCGAGAGGTGACTCTGCAAAAGAAGTAGTTTCTTGGGGAGTTGTGGGGACCTGTCAGGTGAATGGGGCTCGGGGACCTCCTCTCTGTCTGTCGTCACTCTTCAGCAGGGTTTCTCAGTCCTTGCTTTGGTGTTCGTGGAACACGAGTCCTCACATCCTGGCCAGGTGCTCTGCCACCGAGCTGCCCCAGCCCTACTGGCTCATTTTTTGATTGAGTTCATCCTTTTCTGTGTCTTTTGCAAGTGCTTATTTCTTTTCTCAGAAATGTGGAGTGCGGGGCTGGGGCTATAGCTCAGTTGGTAGAGTGCTTTCCTTGTGTGCACAAGGCCTTGAGTTCAATCTCCAGCACCACAAAAAAAAAAAAAAAAAAATGGAATATGGAATGCCTCCCTTGTGTGTCATCCTTGCACAAGAAGTGTGCCAGTTTCCTCTGTTGTTCCATTTTTATTGTACATTGCTGCCAAAGAAAGCACTTGAAACACTTTTCGACTTATTCTTTTTAGTAATTATTTTATTTATCTTTATGCTGTGCTAAGGATTGAACCCAGTGCCTGACATATGCCAGACAGGAACTCTGCCAGTGAGCCACAGCTCCAGCCCTCAACTTGTTATTTATCTTTGTGTTTTATGGAGCTGGAGATTGAACCAGGGTTCTCACTTTTGCTGGGCAAACATGTAATTTGCTTTTTAATTTAAAATAGTAGCTTGGGGCTGGGGATACAGCTCAGTTGGTAGAGTGCTTGCTTTCATGCACAAGGCCCTGGGTTCAAGCCCCAGCACCACCAAAAAAATAGCTTGGCACAGTGCCCACGCCTGTAATCCCAGAGGCACATGAGGCCAAGACTCGAGGATGGCAAATTCCAGGTCATCCTGGGCAGCTTAGTGAGGCCCTAAGCAACTCGGGAGATCCTGTCTAAGAAGGCTGGGCGCAGCTCAGTGGTGCAGCACCCCTGGCTTCTATTCCCAATGCTGCCAGAACAGAAAGCAAGCTGGCCTTGTGGTTGGGAGGTACCACTTTCATGTGATGAGACTCTTTGGAGCCAGGTGTGTGTACACCTGTCCCCACTGACTAGGAGTCGTCTGGGTCAGTGAGGCACCATCTCAAACACACTGACCCTTGGTGGACGGGCACTTGGACCTGCTCCTCTGCAGAGGCCTGCTGCCCCACAGTCCACACAGAGCTGCCTGCCCACCTGACCCCAGCACTGCTGCTGCCCTGAGCCAGGCAAGATGCCACACTCTGTGCTTGTAGCTGGCCCTGGGTGGTCACACACACCAGGAGACGACAAGGGCTCCTCCTTTCTGTCCCCTTCTTCCCAGTGCTTGGTCTGTCCTCTCTGTTGCCCTGGCACTTCCTGTGAGCAGAATGCCTTGAACTTGAAATGCTGCACCCATGGTGTTTCGCATGGGTGCCACCTGCTCCTAATGAACTGGACAGTTGTTCTGGGCAGCTGTGCCAAAGCTGTGGTAGCCACAACCTCTACTGGCAGTCTGAGAGGCACCCCTGCAACACCTGCCCTCAGAGGTGCCCGTACTCTTGGCACCTCTTCCCTGCCACCTCCCACACAGTCCCAGAGCAGAGGTGAGAGCCAGACTGTTTTCATCCCTCAGAACCCCGTGGGTCACTGCCCACCTGGGACTGTAGTCGCTGCTCTCTGCCTGCTGCTGGCTCTGACTACATCTTTAGGCCTCAGAGAGCTTGTGTCCTGCTGGGTTCTGCAGGACAGGCAGGAGATCCCTGGCTGGTGCCGGGAAGGCCCAGAGCAGCTGGCACAGTGCCCTCCCACCCTCCTGCAATGCCCACGGGAGAGGCCTGAGCCAGGTGCAATGTCTGTCCTAACATGCAGACACAGGTGGCCAAGACCGGGCTCAGTTCCTCCCCCATGGTCCCTGTTCCTGTGCGTCTGCGTCTTCTCTACGAGCTGTAGGCTAGAGGCTGGGGTCAGCATCTGCCTGTGCCACACCGTTCCCTGTGTGAACCCGCACCCCGAGCAGCCCTGGCCCTTCCTGATGGCCAGGGTGTCCAGTCCCACTATTGGCACTGCAGCCGTGCTCCTGCCTGGTACCACGTCCTGGGTCGGGTGGTGTGTGGTGCAGGGCGTGCAGAACCTGGGGTGTGGCCTGGCGTGAGCACAGCACAGAGCTGAGGCTGGCCACCAAGTCTCCCTGTGGCTGTGGCCCTGGATGGCCCTGAAGCCAGCTTCTGTGGGCAGAGGCTGCGTGCTGTGCCCGGTGTCCCTGGCATGGCTCCCGCTGGCTTCCTGTTCTGCAGTGTAGCCCTGATGTGCCATGGGGGGGTGGGCCAGGATCAGAGCAGCCCCTCATCCCTCCTGTCCCCCCAGGAAGCAGGTCCTGGGGACCAAGGTGGACGCAGAGCGCGATGGCGTGAAGGTGCCCACCACGCTGGCCGAGTACTGCGTGAAGACCAAGGCGCCGGCGCCCGAGGAGGGCGCGGACCTGTTCTACGAGGACTACTACCAGGACGGGGAGGTGGAGGAGGCAGACAGCTGCTTCGGGGACGACGAGGACGACTCGGGCACCGAGGAGTCCTGACACCTCGTCCACCGAATAAACTCTCAGATTTTACCTCATGGGACGGACGCTGGCTCTCTCGACAGGCTACCTCACGGCACTGCCTTGCCCTGCTCTGGGCGGCGCGTTTGGGTGTCCTTCCTTCCCCGTGCGGTTCTGGGTTTTCCTTGCTCCAGAGAAGAGCCGGGCTTGGGCTTGCCGGCCCCCTCCTGGGATGGCAGAGCCAGCAGAGCCGCAGCAGCCAGGGTCGTGGGCGGGCCCCATCCAGCAGCTTCGAGGCTGGGGTCCTAGCTCCTGGATGGACGGACTGCTTTGAGGTCACTCCTTTCTGCTGTGGTTTGTTTGAAATCTAAATAAAACTGCCGGTGAGGAGGCAGACCACTCCTCCTTCAGGGAGGCACCAGGGCCAAGGTCATCACACTCCTGGTCCCTGGGCCTGATGGTCACCTCTCCACCCAGGAGATGGGGTAGCCAGGGAACCCCCTAGTTGCCTTTGAGGGAAAGGGCCCCATCCACAGAAGCCAGTGGCCCTTCCTGAACGCTCTGGGCCCGAGGTGGACTCTGGTGCTTCCCAAGGGTTCCTCTCACACTGGTGGCAAGTGGGACACTGCTGGTCTTGTGTCTGTGCAACTGAAAGGCCCAGAATGGCTGGACTCAGGAGTTGGACTCGCTGAACTTGGATGCCCAAGGTCAAGGGTATATGCCTGGACCCAAGTGGGCACAGTGCGGTAGGCCCTGGACTGCACCGCTGGTGGGTGCAGCTTTGCCACTTGTTTGCTTTAGTTTGCTTGGGGTTAATTTGGACAGTACTGGGAGTGGCCCAGGGCCTCGTGCTTCGTAGCATGTTCTCGGTCCTGGGTCAGTCCCTAATACTGCCCAAAATGGGGCAGGGTGTCTCACTAAGTGGCCCAAGCTGGTTTCAAACTTACAGTCCTTCTGCCTCAGCCTCTTGAGTTGCTAGGGTGATGGAGGTGGCCACTGTGCCTATGAATTTCCTGTTCAAAACTTGCTTTTTTTTTTTTCTTATTGGTACTAGGCATTGAATCGGGGCACTTTACCATGAAGCTGTGTCCCCAGCACTTTTTAATCATGTGAAGCTGGGTCTCACCCTGTTGCCCAGGCTGGTCTTGAACATAGTCCCCAAGCCTTCTGAGTGGCTGAGTGACAGGCAGGTACAGGCCCTGCTGCATCTGACCCTGTGGTGTGCTGCAGCCAGGCACAGCCCCTGCCTGCTGCCTCCTGCCTGCTGCGCCTTCCACTGGGAGCCAGTCACAAGGGAGGGGCTGGAGGGGTGGGGAGTGGGTGTTAACAAGAGGACAGTTTGGGTTTGGGCAGAAGCCTTGGAGGTGGGTGGTGGGCATACTGCAGAGCTTTCCCGTACAAAACGGCTAAGATGGTGAACTGTGTTTGTTACCACAAGAACAAGGAGAGGCCTGAGGTGTGGCTCAGGCAGAGTGCTCCTGAGTGCAGCTGCACCAGGCCCTGGGCTCCATCCCCAGCACCAAGGAGGAGTCACACTGAAGCCTGACAGCACAGACGAGGTGGGGATTGGAGCACTGTATTAAACCATAAGGAAGTTGGTAGTCTCACAGTTTTGTCTTCGAGTTCCTGTCCTTTAGAAACCCCTTCTAAAATGTTCTGGGTGAGGTGAGGCTGGAGGTAGAGAGATGTCTGCTGTGTGCAAGGGCAGGGCAGGGCTGTGGGCAGGCGAGATGGGAGACAGGCCCCGTGCTCTGGCACTCCAGAGGGGGTAGTGGGTGGAGGGGGTGCCGAAGATTGGAGGAAGCCCAGGCCTCAAAGGTTCCAGGGCAGTGGGCAACTTAGCAAGACTCATAGCAACATGGTGAGACCCTGTCTCAGAATGGGCGGGGGTGACCTAGCATGCTTGAGGCCCTGGGTGGCTCTGGAAAGGATGCCGCGGCAGGTCCTGATTTGGAACAGCACGTCTGGAGAAATCAAAGCAGGCGGTGCTGGAGAGTGCCTTCTCCAACTTTCTCCTGAGTAGGAGTCTCATGTTTGGGGGGCTGCAGAGCTCTGGGTGGGGATTCTGCATCCTCCCTTCCTGACCTGCTGCAGGGCCGCCTGGAGCTCAGGCCTGCTCTCAGTGTCCACCCCCCGCCCCCAAGGCGTGCTGCCCTCCAGGGCTGTGCATGAACCTGGGTTTCTGCACCGTGGCTGGCTCCTGCTGCTGGGCTTCAGTGTTTTCTCCAGGACACCGTGGTCTTGGCACCGGCCAACACGGCTGCATGATGCTATGAACTATCAGCCCCTGCTCAGGGCTTGCTGCTGCCCGGGGTGTCTTTCACAGCAGAGAAGTCGAGGGCCTCTCACCTCCCCTGGGAKCTGGGTGATACACTGTCCTTCCAGTCTCCCCAAGCCCAGGCTGTGTGGGGCAGGAATGCCCCGAGGCCCCGTGTTCTTGCCATGCATGTGGCAGGAGTTGGTGCTTCTGCTTGGCCACTTGGTGGCAGGATGCCCACTGGCTTTCTCCATGGTGAGAACCACAACATCTTCATTTTCTGGAGGGGGCTGGGCCCCAAGAGCTGCCAACCACCTGTCCTGGGAGATTAGGCTGTCTCTGCACCCTCCCAGCAGGCCTTGGAGGCAGGCTTGGAATGAAGGAAGCCTGCAGGAGGGCAGAGCTGCTGCCACGCTGCCGGCCAGCTTCCACACCACAGGCTGGGCCAACACTTGGTGCTGCCAGGGTTGACGCGGAGCAGGGTGGCTGGTACGTGCTCCAGAGGCCAGGCTGGCTGGAGGAGGGTGGCTCTTAAATGAGCAGGAGACCTACTGGATGGGTGCACAGGGATCCTTTCATCTAGCACCCACCATCCTATAAGTTCACCACC